CTGATCAATCCAAACAACACTGGCTTCTCTTACTTGATCAGCAAAAAGCATTTGACAGAGTTAACCATTCATACTTACAGTTGGTGCTCACCAAAATGAACTTTGACAAAAAGTTTATCAGTATTATCAATACATTATTTTCGACCTAGCAGGCACATATTATGGCAAATGGCAAAATTTCAGAACCTTTTAAGGTAGAAAGAGGTGTAAGACAAGGGGACCCACTATCTCCTCTTCTATACATTATAGCCTTTAACCCACTATTGATAGCATTACAACAAAGAATTTGTGGTATTTACATTTCCAATCAAGCCTTCAAACTTGCAGCTTATGCTGATGATTTGATGGTTGAGATTAGCTCTACAACAGACTGGTACAACCTTATAGACACTATTAATAAATATGAAAAAGCATCAAACACCAAGATCAATAAATGCAGAACACTTACAAGTACACAACACTAATGAGCTGCTAACAATTTTGGGATATGAGACCAATATTACTGGTACCTCAACTAAGAGTAGCTGGCCAAAACTGACAAAGAAAATCAAAAAAAGTATTGACTATCTCTCGACCCGTAACCTCTCACTTAAAGGAAAAATCCTGGTAGCCAAATCTTTACTTATCTCCAAGATCTGGTATACAGCTTACCTTCTACCATCTAGCAGAAAACAACTTAACGAAATTAATACAATGATCTCAAATTGGACCAAGAACAAATTCAGGATGCTTTCCTGCTACTCAACCTTTCAGCTGGGGCAAGAAATTGGAGGACTCGATGCACCAATACTTAAGGATATGCTAGATACAAAGCTGGTCTCAATTTGGATCAACTTCTAACTAGCAACCACTTCTGGGCATTAGCAGAAAGAAGTATTATTCAATCAGAAATGCAAAGCAAATGAAATATTTCAGTCAATGCAGCACTTACAATACACACAGTAAAACTAAAAGGATGGCCAGACAGATGGAAACCCTATCTAAAAGCCTGGATCAGGGTTAAAGGCCAAGTAACTACAACAAGCAATTGGCCCTGGTCGTTAGATGATCTCAAAATACAAAACCTAGAAGCCAACAGCTACTCAGTTAAAGCTAGTACAGAATCTTTATGAAAAGAACTACCATCAGCACCTACTCTCTTACTGAGTCCAGAAACTTCACAACAGGAACTTAATATCTGGGTCAAAATGAAACACATTTTGAACAAGAAGAAAGATATCTTCTGGAGGCTACTCCATAGAGCCCTACCATTAGGTTATCGGTTAGATCATATTTCACAGAACCTAGACTCCAACTGCCCAGGATGTCCGCACACAACACAAACAATAGAACACTTTGCGATCAATCTGGAAGCAAGGTTATAAAATGTTAAAAAACTACACCGAGGACCCACATCCAAACTCACTAAAAGAAATTTTTTTGGCCACTAATATAAAGAACCCAAAGAAATGTTATGCAGCAATCTGGGTTCATATTCACACATTGTACGAAATCTGGCTATGATACACACAGGCCAAATAGAGAAACAATGTAATTCTGATAAACATAGCTATTAGTTTAACTAAAAAAAGATTACAAAAAGAACAACTAATTCTTAGAACAATACAAAAAGGAAAAAATAACTCCTTATATAAGAAGATTACAGAGTATATCAATCCTGTAAATATATAAATGTAATATAACCTATTGTAATCTAATAAAGTATGCTTAATTGCGGTTTTTCTAAAAAAAAAAAAAAGACCTTTTGGTGATCAATGTTAAATTTATTAAGAACGAAATTAACTGATTCAATAATATCAGATGCATGATGTTCATCCAACTCTCCCATATCAAGTATGATCTTGTGCAACTCAAATGAATCTGTAAGCAAGTGGCAAGTAATTCCAAGATAGCTATCGTGCGCTCATGATGTCCAAATATCGAAGGTCAAAGAAACTGTATCTGATGTTTTTGAGATAAGATCTACAATTTGTTCTGTCACAGATTTATAGAAGTTAAATATAATAGTTTTTGATCGTACTAACACATGGTATTTCGAACTAAGGATCAAGAGTTTTCGCCCAAAGCCTAAAACTATCATCTTCAACAATATAAATAGGCTCAGCACATGAAATTATATAACACACAAGTTGATGTGAAAGTTTTTTTTGCATGTAAGAAGAATGGGTTTTGAAATTACTTGTTGAATGGTTTGTTGCTTAACTTTTAATGATTTATCTTTAAGTGACTCTTTAGTAATTTGATGAATATCGCAAAGATGGTTTATTAAATTGGTAGTGGATCCTTTCCACAGATATTCTGTTTTGCATCCTTCAAATGAACACTGAACTTTTTCAGCTTGTTCATCTTCATCAATAAATTTTTCAAAAAATTTCTATACGAAACTTCCCTGTTTTTTTGGTCTTTTTTTTTTGTTAATAGCATTTGAGTTTGGAGTAGATGAGGTTTGAGTAGATGTAGACACTAATAGTTTGACGTCACTATTATCACCTTCTTCATCTTTTTTAGATAAAGAATTAAATTCATCCGAATTATCCATTACAATTTTTTGGAGACGTAATTAAAAAATGATTCAACATATATACATTTTTTTAACGTCAATTTATTATCCTTTTATTTTATTGTGTACCATAAAAAATACAATACCAAAAAAACATGTTCTATACGAGATAAAATCCAGGTCTAAAATTTTTTTTCGTTATTTCATTCAAATTGTTCGTTGTTTAATTTTAAATAGTATTTGATTTCTGCTAACGTGAGCATTGCCATTTATCAATTTTGTGTTATAAGTTTTACTAATTCATATAATTAGTTTAATCTTGCATATTCACCTTATTATAATTGTTAGAGATTTTAATATTACAAGGATTGAAAGGCGGATTTTGATATACTGCGTGCTCCTTTACTAATAGCACCTTTATAACTTTTTTCTTTAAGTTATAAAGATGGCAAGGTAAAAAAAATTCATTATTTGTGATTGAAAAATTTTTTGCTTATTCTTTTAAATAAACTCCACAAAATCATATGCGGTATAAATAAACTTTACAAAATCATATGCAGCGTAAATAAACTCTACAAAATCATATTCGGTGTAAATAAGCTCTGCATACAACTCCTCGATTTAACAAATTATCGATTAATATAACGAGGGTCATATGGTAGCGACACCTGCCAAAGTTGAACGTAGCAGATGCTATTTTATATATAAAAATTTTGACTTTGCATTGCATATTCACATGTGCATATTGTGCCATCTATAGTCTTAATAGGGTGTGTGATATACTAATCAAAACTATATATGGTACTAAATAAGAATATTTTTGGTGAAACAAAACCCTGAAAAGTGAGTCATCCTTATTAAATTCATGTTTTTATACGAAATATTAGAATTTGAAATTCAATTTATTGGGGAACAAAGGATTATCATGAGACAAAATATTTTGAATACATTTTTTGATTACCATAAAACGCAGTGCAAGGTACCTCCTTGATTTAGACCCCCTTGATTTGTACCGGGTATATTACAAGGGCATTTGTTGTGGTATTTTGTAAGAGACCCGGGTATAAATCAATGCTGATTTAATATACTATATATTTTTTTTTCTAATAAACTAATATAACCTCTTCACAAAATACCCCCCAAATAATATACCCACTGCTATACAATATACCCGGGGGTATGAATCAAATTTCGATCACGTGGAATGTAAAATACCCGGGTACCTTGCACTGCGTTTTACGGTAAATGATTGAGAATAGAGGTCGGAAGCAACTATGTATATCTTTGATTAAAAATTTCGAAGACTATGAAAATTTAATTATATGTACAGCCCTTAAAACTGTTTATAAAAAAAAAACTCTTTCCGGTTTACTTCTGGAAATATACTCGAAATCAAAATTTTGCTAAAAAACTCTTTTTTATCTTAACTCTCCTAACGAGACAAGGACCTTGGGGTCCAAGAAGCATGAATATATTACTCTTGACATGGGTAAGCAACCAAACAACAAGAAGGCCAGGCTTTCTTCAGACAACGACAAAATTTTTAACTTTACAAAAGTTGAAGAAAACAAAGAAAATACTATAGAACCGGACAACAATAGCAATAGCAATAGTGATCTCAAGATAGAAACAAAAGTGTTATCAAATTTAAACCTCAATAAACTTGATACAAGTTGGGCTAACCAAGTTGAAGAGGAACAAGCCAAAGAAACAACAGAAACGATGACAGAAGAATTGCTCAAGGGCCAAGAAACACGTACTGAAATTGTAAACAAAACAAATCACATGTCGGAGGTAAACAATAAACAAGATGATGTACACGTGTCTAACAACAGCCAATCAGAGAGCTCAACTCATGGGGATGCAGATGCTTCCAAACAAGACACCAACTACAGGACCCACAACCCTGAAGTGAAGCCAAAACAGTGGTCTAATCTCTTTGCTAAACTTAAAAGAGGAAAAGCAGCATATATAAGGTCTACTCCTAGACAACAAGTTCATTCTAAAAAACGAGAACGCTCTTATTCTGGATATACAAAATCTTAGCAATATTACTAATGATATAATTGCAGCTCTAGCTGTATCTTTAAGAGAAGATTTAATTGTGGCAAAAACACATATGTCAAGAGGGAAAAGGGCTTTCTTAGAAATTATTTTAAAAAACAAAGAGAAAGTTCAACACTATGCAGCAGAAGGAATTTCTCTGTTTAAACAGACCTTCTTCGGATATATTCCTTTCAACCTCAATCGCTCTTTTCTTACTATCAAGCTTAAAAACACCCCGATGGGTGATACCAATTATATTAGTGACAACATTTGCTTCAATCAAACCTCTCCTTTTTGAAGGCACTACGTTCTGTACTGATCAATGGTTAGTCACCTTCGAAACTACAGAAGACCCAGATCTGGCCTCACGCATGCCAAGAAGTACACATATTGGAAACCATAGAGTGTTCATAGAATGAAAAGAGGCTCCCAAAGTCTGCTTCTATTGTGACAAAGAAGGTCATATTAAAAGAGATTGCAAAGAGCTTAAAGCTTCAATAGAGACAAGAAAACTATTAAAAGAAGCCAAAGAGCAATGAGAAAAAGCAAAAACTAAAAGTCCTAACTCTTTAGAAATGGATTTTAGTAAAAACAACCCATACATTAATCAGGAAGTCACGAACAACAACCCAACTACAGAACTACTGGAAAAACCAGAAGATTCTTCAAATGAACAGCTATCAGAAACTGCAATGAAGACAGTCCCTAAACTCTTCTAACCTGATAGAAGAAACAGAAGCAGTTTGTTATTATTACCAATACCTCATCTCAAATGGAAGTAGAATCTCAGGATGATCTAACAGCTCTCAGTAACACCGATACAACTGTTGACAATACTTCTTTTATCACAGTAGTATCTAGAAAACAGAAAGAAAAGGAATAAGGTAGCTGCGCAACGCAGTTACGCTAGAAACCAGGAACGAAAATAAAAATACTGTTGGCCTTCTCAAAACCAATTTTGTTAAAACCAATAACCTGCAA